TTWGKYMAARGKWAAAAAAGGACTTAAAACAATCAAAATAAGCCCAAACRAACTGTTTTTGCAAAGTTGRARTTCRCCTGTGTTGTAATTGAAAGCCAMGTTWGTCACTTCRATWAAAAWTTTTCCTAATTTCAAAYRTGTCTTTTATCTTCTTTTTTTTGAAAGAATCACCTGTGTATTTATACTAAAACGATCATTTGCCTCAGYCTCAGTGAATATCGGAGAATATTTACCTYGCCTCTCGAAGACTCACGTCTYGGTAAATATTCCCCGATATTCACTTCTCCTTCGGCGAATAATTGTCAAATACTGCTTGTTAGTACTAGTACTAGGAAATTGGTAATTATAATAATAATAATAATAAACAAAAAATATTACAAAATAGGTTCACAAAAAATACTATTCCAGTGCTATCCATGGAAGCACCTTGGTCAAGAAATGACAGAGAAAGATCAAGTAACATAGTGGGACRATTCATCAGCTAGGTGTAATGCTAACCATGGCTAGCAGTAGCAATCGTACATGATTAGAACCATTCAATCTTGCTCATGAGATTCAGTTATAGAAGCCATCAATCAACTCTTTGTACATCTTGGCAACTATTGGTCTTCTGAGTTTCAAGGTTGGACCTAAAATAACAAGAAGTAATAAGAAAAAGATTATACATAACTTACTAATATAAATCAGCATTTTAGTGGTTTTGAATCCACAACCAGTTTTGGCTGGACTAGGGTACTACTTACCTTGGATCACCAATACAATATAAAGAAAAACATTTAATGCAACATAATTCATAGCTGCATTTTAAAACACTGACTTAAAAAACGTCCTTGTTTAAAAATGAGAATTAATCTCTTTACTTAAGTATGCAGTCATTTCAGAACTTTGGCACTAATAGGAAATACTTTTGACTCACCCACACTACTATTACATTCAATATTCYATGCAAACAACACTCTACTCACATGTTGATTTTTACAGAGGGAGGAAACCAGAGAAACCAAGTAAACCTTCTTAACATGAGGGAACGACGCATCAAACAAACTCAATTCACATAATTATGGTGTCCACAGTAGGCTGTCATCAACAAGTCATTTTACCAGCTGAATATTATAGTCAGCCTCACACACTCAATACCAGTGTACAGCATTAGGTTGYTATCARCACGTCATTTTACCAGCTGAATAGCATAGTCAGCCTCAACACTCATTACCAGTGTACAGCATTAGGTTGTTATCAACACATCAGTTTACCAGCTGAATGGCAAAGTCAGCCTCATACACTCAATACCAGTGTACAGCATTAGGTTGTTATCAACACGTCATTTTACCAGCTGAATAGCATAGTCAGCGCCATACACTCATTACCAGTGTACAGCATTAGGTTGTTATCAACACGTCATTTTACCAGCTGAATAGCATAGTCAGCCTCCTACACTCAATACCAGTGTACAGCATTGAGTTGTTATCAACACGTCATTTTACMAGCTGAATAGCATAGTCAGCGTCATACACTCAATACCAGTGTACAGCATTATGTTGTTATCAACACATCATTTTACTAGCTGAATAGCATAGTCAGCCTCACACACTCARTACCAGTGTACAGCATTAGGTTGTTATCAACTTATCATTTTACCAGCTGAATAGTATAGTCAGCCTCACACACTCAATACCAGTGTACAGCATTAGATTGTCATCAACAAGTCATTTTACCAGCTGAATGGCAAGTTTTTTATAGATGACTGATTGTGTACAAACAGAGGGAAAGTGTTTGCATCTAACTGAAGGCTTGTAATGACATTTTTATTCATCTGATAGCAAACAATAGAATTGAAAAAAATGTTACAAGAACAATGCTAATGCTAATGCTAACTTACCTAATTCTCCTCCTGGAATAGAAAAATCGTTCTCCAAAATTTTCCACTTTTGTACCTGATAAGAGATTGATAGTTCAGATTCTGACATGGCACTGACARTATTCCATTATCATAAATCTTCTCTTCTAGTTATTACAGTTTACTGACGTACCTTTTGTGCTCGTGATGGTGCCTGTTCATTAGCACGGTTTATCCCCTCTTGTATGGCTTTCATTATTTTCTCATCKTTTGTTGATATTACCTCAGACACCGTCTTTGCTTCACTTCCAATGGATTTGCAAAACTCAAGTGCTGATGTGTTCAAATTATCTGATGGTTCTCCTGAGTTTGGGTCAATATCAACCTAAAGAATGATGACAAAATACATATTAAATATAAGTGGAAACTTTAACTGCCAATCTCGTACCCAGAGCCCTTATTTCTTACTGGGCATGCTCGACGTAATAATTGGGCTCTGGAAAACTCCAATATTTCCTGTGCTGTGATTGGTTCTCGAGAACAAAGGAAGATACCGGAAGTAAAAATTAGAGTACTAGGCAAAATAAACAAGATGGCGTCTCAAATTAAGTACACCAAAAAAGCCTGTAGGGCCGGATTTTTTAAAGTTTTGCCGGTTTTGTGATGGAAATTGTATTGATGTCCATCCAATAGGTATTTTYGGAGTTAATTTAACTGAAAACCATCTTCAAAACCTAATTTTCCAAGTGCAAATTCACATGCTCGTTGAACATCGTCCGCCATTTTGAATTTACCTAGTCTGTCATAATGCGCATGTGCGAGAAACCCAGAATCTGGGTCTTCCGGTTTGGAGTTTTCCAGAGCCTAATTATTTCGTCGAGCATGCGCAGTAAGAAATAAGGGCTCTGGGTACGAGATTGTTTAACTGCTAGTTGGCTATAAGAATATAACTGCAACTGTACCTTTAGAGTCAAAAGACAACTCAGGAATTTTCTTTTGTCTCCTATAACCATAACGTTGCTTATCAATGGCAATTCTTTTTTGATGTTATCTTCCAATGGAACAGGAGCAACATTTTCACCTCCTGCTGTAATGATCAGTTCTGCAACAAGAAAATCTATTATTCAAGGTGCCAAGATATCACTAAAATAGTAATCATAACCAATGCAATGATATTTTTGGTGCACTGATCCAAGTTAAAGATGAACAGGAGTTTAATTTTTTTATCAATAGATGCTGTGGTACAGAGCATTTTCACTCACGTGAGAAGGYAGCCATAAACAACAGAAACTTTCTGCACAGTATTTGTATAAAAATAGAGTTCAATTCCTGGAGGACAGAAAATGYATTGTTTTGGTACTCCATAATGGCGAAATAACGTGAAAATGCTCTGTACATGATAAGAAAGAATAAATGGATGGATCAAATACCTTTTATCCTGCCAGTGATGTACAATTGCTGATTCTGACAGAGAGAAAGGGGAAACAAGTAAACACCTGGTTTCATGTGGAGTAAACAGCATTAAATGCTGATAAATGAATAAAAATAAAACAATTTTTCACCTTCATTAAATACCCTTATCCTAARAAATGCAGTTTAAAACCAATACAAACCTTGTCAATTTTTGCCACATCTCCAGAGTGTAGCCAACCCTCGTCATCAAGACTCTCTTTTGTTTTCTCTTCATTGTTTAAATACCCCATGAAAACATGGCGTCCTTTGATGCATAGCTAAAACAAACCAAATATAACACAGAATRTATTTAGCAACTGCTCTGGAAAATAACTGTGAATGAAGTAATTCACCTTTTCAACGYTAGCCATCATGGAGTATAAATTGTTTTAGATTGTGTTACCGTCACCAAAAAGTTCGGACATTGTTCTAAATTCCTGAAATGCACTGACTTTAAATGAACTATTTACTTGGTTAATGTTTAGTTAGTTCTCTAAATACAAGTAAAGATAATTTTTCTAGCTTGATTGAAGCTTTTCTTACTGCTCTTAAGAGAGCTAACTAAAAAAATCTGTACCTAAATTTTCTCTTTAAAGTCAGTGAATTTGTATGGGAATCTGAGAACAATGTCTTTGAACTTTTTGGTGACCGTAACACAATCCAAGCTAGCACCGAAAAGGTGAATTACTAGGATTTATTTTGCTGAGAAATCAGATTAAGGCAGTTAGTTTTGGGGATGGGGATGGGGTGGAATGGGGGTGAAGGAAGTACTGAATTAATATACAATGTTTTCCAACCTCTCCACATCCATCTTCATCAGGGTTAAGAATCTTTTGTTGACAACCAGGTAATGGTACCCCACAGCTACCAGCAATGATATGACCAGGTATGGACACAGTGTGAGGTCCAGAGCATTCACTCATGCCATACAACTCAAACAATGGAATGTTGATGCTTTGAAAATACTGTAGAGTTTCCATGGTAACAGGTGCAGCACCAACAAATTGAAGTCGACAGCGATCAAGACCCAGAGCAACCTTTATCTGTAATAAAATAAATTGTCACCAAAGGTTACACGTGTAAATTATGCATAAAGCAGGTAACAGAACTACTCTAGACTTTGGAGGCAAGGGATAGCAAAGGAGATTGGAGTAAGTGGTTATTGTACAGTTTACTTTCAGGATAACTAACAACCTGGGAAATTCATATCTTATACACCAAATTGAATAACTATTGTTCTGGACTGACTAGCAGCTGACTAGCCTCTCATACATGCGAAAATGCTTTTATGTTTCCACGTCAACACAAGGCTAGTCAGTCGCTAGTCAGTGCAAAACAATAGTTATTCAAATTGGTCACCATATTACGATTCAGTGTATATGTATCATTTATTTGGAATAATTTTTCAAATATGAAAGTATTTGACATGTGGATAGTTATTCAAATTGGTCACCATATTACGATTCAGTGTATATGTATCATTTATTTGGAATAATTTTTCAAATATGAAAGTATTTGACATGTGGTAGTCTTCTCCATCCTATATCATGCCTGGTGCTTTATTTAGGTACTACCCCAACAACAACAGACATAAATTAACATAGAACTGATATACCTTCTTCAACACCAATGAGTTAGCAAGGGTCCATCCAAAAGGCACTGCTCTCCTGTTTAAGAAAATAAGTTGAAATCATGATGAGGAAATAAGGCTGGGAACTAAAGTAATGCAAATTAGTAGTGATAATAAAAACAATATTCTGTGATTTAATAGACCTCTTCAGCTTGGGAGTAGTGTTTTACCATTCAGACCACTTGTGTCTTCTCATACACACCCATCAAACAAAGAAATGATGCTATAGTAAATGACGTGATCTGAGATAGGTTAACATTATCCTCCAAGGTAAAGAGGTCTATTTATGCCATACCCTTGTTCAATATTCTGATTGCCTTCAAGTGCAACTCCCTTTGCCCAATTTGCAACTTTCCGCTTGACACCTGTGACACGAGTACCAATCTCTAGCAACTTTTCCATCATCTTTTCCCAGACTCTAAAGAACAAACAATAAATTACGCCATGTCAAGTCTTAATTTTTGTTTTCCAGTACTGAGATTTCCTGTACTGTTCCTGGAATGAAACTACTATGATATCTCTGATCTTGGAAACTAATGACGGTGTTTACTAGTCTAGT